AGAACAACAAAGATAGCAGCCATCTCCCCCCACCCCAGAGATTGTGCGGGGGGGTGGGGGAAGACGGGTGCGATTGTGGGCGTGCTGGGGGGAGGCTGGCATGGGTGCACCCAGGCAGGGAACACTGGTGCAATCATGGCCATCTCCCCCCTCCCCAGCACTACCGCGATAGCGCCCATGCAGGGAAGGTGGGCGCGCTCATGGTTGTCACCCAATGCAGAGTTCGCAACCTATGGCAAATTTTTTTATGAAATTTCTGTTCGTGACCTGATTTGGTCGTGAACTGAGGCATTCATGAGCCAAGGTACAACTGTAGTTGACATATTATTTGACTTTTGAAGTAGTTTGGCTTTGGGAATTTTGGAATATGTTTGTGCTTGCCCTATTGTAATTTTAAGAATAGCATTGATTCAGCTGAACACATGAACAGCTTGTGCTCAGCTGAAGGCCAAGTAAAAGGACAAGGCCTCCTGTCAGTGTGCTTTTTGTAAAGAAAAGGGTGCTTTGGAAATGGAGAAATGAATCCAACTTACACCCCTGCACCCTTTTGTTTTAAGAATTGAATATCTCTTTTCAGCTAAGGCCTTTGGCAAATGCACTAGTTCAGCCAATCTAGTAATTCAGCTTGTCCTACTGTGGTGCCTTCATTTTTGGAGGCCTCAAAAACAAGTTTTTTGACAGAATGATATAGAGTTTAGCTGCAGAAAACCAGCTCAGAGGGTAATGAACAAAATGCTAGTTAAATTGCACAAGTAAATCCTGGATTTTTTTTTTAAACTCCCAAGTTAAATTACTGGCATTTAGGAGTAAGAACTACAAATAGTCTTATTTTGTTTTGTGGCATTTGCAATTACTGTAAATCAAATATGGACTCTAACCTCTGAATACTTTATTTTCCTTTCTAAGCTTGTTAAAATAATCTGATTTACTTTCTGGCATGTTATAAAGGCACAAAACTTAAAATCAGCCACTATTCCTAGGATATCAGAACAGAACTGTTTGTAATTGTAAAATACTATTTTAAAACAAGATTTCCATTCCAGGAATGTGTTATTTGGAATATCCTTCCCTGTCTCCTTTATTTAATATTCAGTATTCAATATCGAACTGATAGCAGTTGATTCCAAAATTTTATTAATGTTCTGTCCCCAAATCCTTTCCAGATCCAGAAAACACACATATTAAGGAGATAAGTGGACATTCCAGTTCCATTTTGGAAGAAGATGGAGGGGTGTCAGGGCAGAAACATAGAAACAGAGCGAGTCAGAAGGGGTCTCCTAGGCCATCTAGTCTGATCCCTGGCACCATGTGCATGTCCAGGCTATCCTTGAACACCCTCACCGATGGGTCCTCAATGACCTCCTGTGGAAGCCCATTCCATACCCTCGGGGTCCTAACTGTCAGAAAGTGCTTCCTGGCATCTAAATGCAACCTTGGTTCCCTGAGCTTTGCTCTGTTGGAGTGCATCCTGCCTTCCTCTGCAGGGGAGAACAGGTCTCTACCAATCTCCGTGTGACATCCCCTCACATACCTGTATGTCATCAACATATCCCCCTGAGTCTCCTCATCTCTAGGCTGAAGAGACCCAGTTCCCTCAGTCTTGCCTCATACGGCATCCCTTGCAAACCAGCCACCAACCTTGTGGCCCTACGCTGCACTGACTCTAACCTGGCTATATCCTTCCTGTAATGAGGGGCCCAAAACTGAGCACAATACTCCAGTTGCGGGCGCACCAGAGAGTGGTAGTAATACCTCTCTTGATCTGGAAGCCACACTTCTGGCTATGCAACCAAGGGTGGCGATCGCCCTCTTAACCACCGCATCACACTGCTGACTCATGTTTAGCCTGCAGTCAACCAGAACCACAAGGTATCTTTCACAAGTGCTGTTCTCCAGTCACTTGTCACCTAACCTGTACTTATGACACCCATTCCTATGGCCCAAGTGCAAGACCTTGCACTTATCCACATTGAACCACTTCCATAGTCTGTCCAGATCCTTTTGGATCTGGAGTACCTGCTCCTCAGTTGTGGCGACTGCCCTGGTTTTAGTATCATCTGAGAATTTGATCAACAGACTGGTCACCCCTTCTTCCATGTCATTGATGAAAAGATTAAACAGGATTGGCCCCATGATAGAGGCGTGGGGGACCCTGCTTGTCACTGGTCACCATCCTGATGATTCCCCATTAATGGTTACCCTCTGCTTTCAGTAAGTCAACCATGCCCTAATACATCAAACAGGGCTTTGGTGTATCCCAAAAATTCTCAGTTTCTCCATCAGGATATCATGGGGCATTTTGTCAAAGGCCTGGCTGAAATCCAGGTAAACCACATCCACTGCATCCCCTCCATCTAACCACCTTGAAACCTTGTGATTAAATTCCACAAGATTTGTCTGGCAGGACCTGTTTTTGCGGAAGCCATATTGTGTGGCTGCCAGCCTCCCTCCCCTGTCTAGCATCACTAGACCACTCTCTATTATGAGCCTTTCCATTGTTTTTCCTACCATGGACATAAGACTAACTGGTCTGTAATTCCCCATGTCCCTTCCACTATCCTTTTTAAAAATTGGGACCACTGATGCCACCCTCCAGTCCTCTGGAACTTCTCCCGTTCTCCACAAGGCCTCAAAAATGCAGACCAGTGGGCGTAAGAGAATCCCTGCCAACTCCCTCTCTCGGATGTAACCCGTCAGGGCCTGGAGCCTTTATAATGTCCAATGCCCTGAGGAGCCCCTCGACTTCAAGGGGGTTCACTCTATGCCCCTAGGTCCCCGGCCTCATCTAATCTCCTATGCGGATCTCCCCTGCCCTACTTTGGGGTGAACACAGAGGCAAAATTGTCATTTAGCATCTGTGCATGTTCCCTCATATCAGTCACTGGATCTCCTTCCTCCTTATTTAGTGGTCCCACTACTTGTCTCCCCTTCCTTTTCCTATTTACATGCTGAAAGAAGCCCTTTTTGTTGCTCTTGATATTCTTGGCAAGTCTCAGCTCGTAATCAGCCTTAGCCTTGCAAAGAATCTTTCTCCAACGGGCCTCCTCCTCCCGGTATACCCTTTTCTCTATTTGCCCCAGTACCCATTTCCTCTTTCGTCTAATCCCTCCAACCACCTCCTTTCGCATCCATTGCGGTGCTCTCCTCTGCCTCCTCACCTCACTACGTAGAGGAATTGTCAAGGCTTGCACCTCCAAAACCTCCCTTTTGAGTGCCATCCACCCCTCCTCAACTCGCTTACCTTCCAGTAACCTATCCCAGGAGACTTTCCCCAGTCTGGCCTTCAGTTGGCCAAAGTTGGCCCTTTTGAAGTCCCAGCTTCTAGTGTGCGACCTGCTGCACGTCCCCAGTCCCCTGATCTCAAAGCAAAGGATGGAGTGATCACTCGCATCCAGAGCTCCCCTAATCTGTACTTCGTCTATCACCTCCTCTCTATCGATCAAGACCTAGTCAAGGATGTTTCCTCCCCTCATCGCCTCTCGGACCCGCTGTGTGAAAAACCCTCCTTCTATAGCTTCTAGGAAGCGACGTGACCTGGCTGTCACTGCTGTGTGAGTCTCCCAACTAATATCCAGGAGATTGAAATCTCCCATAATTACTGTGTCTCTCCCCTGAGATAGCCTTAGAATCTGGTCTGCCAGGCCATCATCCAGGTCTCAAGTTGACCAGGAGGGCGATAACATACCCCCACTGTCAGATCTTTTTCCCTGTCAAAACCCCTAATTTTCACCCAGACAACCTCTACCGAATCCCCATCTGTGCTGCATTTTATCTCACTGCATCCTATCCCTTCCCTGATGTATAAGCCATGCCCCCACCCCTATTTCCCTTCCTGTCCTTTCTAAAAAGGTGATACCCCTCTATGTTTACATTCCAGTCTTGCCTTTCATCCCACCAAGTTTCTGTGATCCCACCAGGTCCCATACCCTCTTATTCCCAGGAGAGTATCTAAAATACCTGGGAATCATCTAGTTCTGTAACATTTGTGTCACAAGTGACCTGAGCAAAAGATGACTTTGTTTAAGCAAAGGAGGACTCCAAAAAAAGATACAGAGGGTTGCAGTATTTGCTCTTAATGCTATTATAAGTAGAGCAAAATGTTTGGATTCTATACTAGCGAAGGGCGCTCTAAATATTTAGAGATAGGAAGGTAAGGCTGATTTGATAGAAAAGCTCTTATTTGCTATATGCCTTATTACTGTTGCCTACCCACCATATTTTAATTATGTGTATGTGCAAAACATGGATTTTATGGTCTTGTATTTTTTTTAAATTGTATTTGCAATTATTCTTTTGATGGAGCACTATACCTATCATATTGGTGTTAGAGACATGCTCCTGAAATTCTAATCTGTGTGCACAGGAGAGAATGCCAATGATCACAGAAAGCTCTGTGCAAACCAGCATTCACTTCAGTTGAGCAGGCAATGCTCTGTATGTGCATCCCTGCTGTGCCAGCACTGCCATGGATTAAAGCAAGGGGCGGCATAGAAATGTTCTAATAATAATAATAATAATAATAATAATAATAATAATAATAATAATAATAAAGTTCTAGCTTCAGGGCCCTCTAAGGCAAGGCCAACATAAGACTTCAAAAATATTATAGCAGAGGGACATGACCATACTTTTAGGTCAGGGGTGGAGCCTTGTAGAATAAGGCCAGCAGCAAAACATACACACACTAACCTTGCTGAGTTCACTAAGAAGTTCCCTGATTTTTTAAAAGTGCCGTACTGGTTTCCTGCCCAAATCTATTTTTACTCCTGAAACCATGGTGGGCTGGTAACCTTCAGAGATTCCATTAATGATAAATTATATATCCCTTCTATTCTAAAGCCCATTTATTATTTTTGCATTTTCTCACAATTCATCTCTAGACTGCTTCTCCTTTACATTATACAGCTCATAATTTTTGTTGCAAATGTTGTTCAGTTATTGTAAAAGTAAATCATAACAACCAAACAAGATAAAAAATTGTTAGAAAAAGAAAACGCAGATGAAAAATGAAATAGTTTATTTTCAATTGTTTAATAAAATGATACAATAGTGTGAGAAATGGTAGATACAGTAAACATTTATTGAAGGATGTTTCATTTCATTATAGGCTCACAGATAAGTTTGATACACAGAAAGCCAATGAATACAATGGTTCCAATCCCTCTGCCTGCAGAACATTACCAACTATTGTTCTATGAGGGAAAACAGAGAATTTTCTGCACCCAAACTCCAAAACCCAAGTTCATTTGGGGGAAACCATGACAGCTAAACTGGTGTGAAGCACCTATAACTTCATAGACAGACATAAACTCAGTAGGCTTCAGCTCCACCATCAACACCTCGTTTTTGTACAATGTAAATTAGCAAAATTCTCAGTTCTGTTCTTCATTTTATAGAGCATATCTACTGATGTTTCTACAAACTGAATTTTCTTCAGTGTCCCCTAATAATTGACTGTAGGCTAGGAAGAGACAACACTTTCCTTTAGTTGAACTTGGTGTGAAGGAGGTATCATTTCCCATGTCATACATACATTTCACAGCTGGCTGTGTTCACGGGTTGTGCAGTTTTTGTATTGCTCCATTAAACTGAAAAACCCATTTGATTTGAAATGCAGTGGAATAAATGTGTAACACTGTGCAATGCCAGCGATTGTTCTATCATATCACCTTTATTGTTGCTCCACAACATCATTATGACTGAATGTGCTCAAAAATGTTCTATTCTTGACTAGCCCTGCTCAGCGTTTGTAAACTCAAGGTTGTGACTTCCTTTATGAAATCTCATAGTTGGTCTTCCTAGCTTTACTGTCTTCTCCAGTGAGATGCCTTCCCAAGATGTCTTCCCTATTAATCATTAACAGACAGTAAAAACTTTCCTTTTTTGCTTTCTTAATATTCCCTGTGCTAGTAGAAACCACATTACCAATCTGATATTAAATCAATACTATAAACAAAATCTGGTGTCTGACCATTTTAATGTAAAAACACAGAATTGTATTAAGGTTTATTATTTGGGAAGAAAGGGTCCAACCTCATCAGGATGGTATCTGGATTGAGTAGTACCCTGCATTCTTACTTCCAGTGGGTCTTACAGGTTCAGAATCCCTAACTCAAGCATTTCTTCCCCTTCAACTCGAAAGTGTAAGGACACAGAACATTAAACAAGATCCAGAAGAGGGTTTTGCCTTGTCATTGCTGTTTGCTTTTCTCCTTTAAACAGCAGATTCCCACACCACATCCCCCCCCTTTTTTCCCAAAAAAGTACTTTCCAAATGACATGGACAGGGCTTGTTGGGGAAATGCCAAAGCTCTTGTGGGCACATGTTGAACTAGCCATGCAGTTCTTTCTACCTTGGCCACTGAATTTTTAACACATTTGGAGCCTCAGTATCTTGGACACACAGTTTTCAATTGTGCAGCATTATCTTAATTCAGAAGCGGCAAACTGTGACCCTCCAGCTGTTTTGGTGTACAATTTCCAGAATCCCTGGTTAGCACAGTCAGTGCTGAGGGATCATGGGTGTTGTAGGCAGAAACATGTGGAGGACTACATGTTGCCCACCCTTGCTTTAACTGGCATTTTTCTGATCCAATACACTTTTTTAATGAAACCTTCAGACAGAAAACAAAACAAAGCAGACATATGCAGTGGCAAGAAAGGATGGCTTGAAACACCACAGAACAACCCACCATCACCATTGTAGATTAATATATATATAGAATATCAAATGGTGATGGGGCAGGACATTTTACATATTTGTTAATACCAGCGTAAGTCTGCTATAATCCAAATGCATAAGAGGATTATGTGAGCTCCTAGTTTTCACAATGAAAAACTGTTTTCATAACCATTCTAACAAAGGAGGGAAAGTAACGATGAGCACAGGCAAGGCTTTGATACACAATCTTGCATGAAGCAGCCTATCTCAAGGGTATCTACAAAACCATTAGCAAGGTTAAACACTCAGCTGGACGGCAGGCCAACCCATCATGCTGTTTCTTTATCTACACAATACAGCTAGATTGGACCAAAGGATATTGATCTATCCTACTTCAATTTTAGTTAGTTTGCTAGTTGTCCTTTAATTAAACTATAAACCCAATACATCAAATGAAAAGAAAGTTATTTGGCTTTATTGCCCCGCCCTGCCTGGCCAACCCAAAAGCATGTACTCAGCAAACATGTAGTGGAGTTTCACTTTGGGGCTTCTCCTGTTTCCATCCAAACAGCATGTCAATCAAAACCAATATTCCGAAACAAAGATGTGCACATTGACAACATTGCGGTGTGAGACGACTCCTCCCACAACATAGTTCATCTCTAGCCTGAGGGTGGCATAGAACGGACCAATGATGGGCTTCACCTGACGAACGACACCTATAGGTTGAAGAAGAAGAGGAACATGTAAAATTAGTGCCACACACACGTGGTCTCAGATCACCCATCACCAGTGGTGGCTTTGGTTCTTCCTGTCAGGTAGTTTTCAAAAGTGGTGCTGGGAAGCTGCTGTTCCATCCCATGGTTTTTGTATTATGAGGCACCCTAAACTCCTACTTAGTTTGCTATGTGACTTAACATGAAACCTCTGGTCACCCAAAGATCTGGGGCAGAAATTCATCAATTACCTGTTTTCACAGGAAAGTATACAGGTATATAAAGTCTATATACCACAAACCTCCTATAAGTCCCACTTTGAAATGAAGCTCTGGCAGTTGTCAAACCTAAGACTTCCATCAGGGAAATCTCCTCTAATTTTAAAAGTTCCCCTGATGTAGGTACATTCAAAACAGGGGGCCAAATCCTGCAGCTGGATTCTGCTGCAAAAGGGGAAAATACACCTTTGCACAAATAAAAATATCTCGGAGCTTCACTAGCCTCTGACAAATTGGCATCTGACACCTGTCATAGGCTTGCAAAGGAGGGGAATACTTACCTGCTGCCTCACATAGCTGGCATAGCTGGTCAATTCAGACAGCAGGCATCCCCCTCTGGTAAATACCCACCCTCACATTCCCCTGCACCAACCCACTATGCCAAATTTGTGCAAAACTGACAGACCAGGTAAAAGAAATGAGTACAGCTACTGGCACATGTTGTTGGGGTAGAAAAATGGGAATGGGGGATGACCAGATGCAGTCCCTCCACAGTACCACTGGGACACCTGCCAATGGGGATCATGAATGCTGATTTGACAACAGGCTTATGCAATCTAAAAAAAAGAATGTTTCAAAAGGAGAAGTCAGGCTGTGGCAAACTTTGCAAGGATGGTAGGGAGGGGGAAAATGTCTTGTGGGGATATCCATAAGAGGACCAAGGGGGAAAGTGGAAGAAGGAGGGAGCACCCTATGCTTGATGTGCCTGATACTCTGTTGTGCATATGGTAGGTAGGGTAGGGTGGTTTATAGGGTTGTGTGAGTGTTCCCACTGATGGCATTTTTGCCAGTTTTGTTTTTGCTTTCATTTTCTTGTGCTGTTTGTTGTACTTCACTGCACATGGCTACTGTACTATCAACTTCTGACACTGAAAAATATAGGATAACAAAAGGTCACAGAAATTCAAAACTCCTGTTGAGCTGAACATTTTGGCACAGAATTCCTCCTTGAAGTTACAGTGGCATTTGATTTGGAAGGAAGTGCACAGTTTAAGGAAAGATTATTTGATATCATTCCCATTTAGATCTTAGTTTGGCTCATGTTTCAGAAGTGGAGTGCTCAACATCATATATGGAATTCCAGAAGCACTCTCCTAGCAGTTCTCTAAAAGCACATTGGCTTTGGATCTGATGGAAGAGATAAACGTTTGCTTATGCCAGCTGTCAGCAGCCGCTTTTCAAAAGATGTGAAGACCTTAGAGTTCTGTCCTATTTAAATACTGGCTAATATCTTCAGTATGTGGTGAAAAGCAAACTTTTCACCATACTAATTTTGCTTGCCATATTTCATGAAATAACTTCTCTCTCTAAGCATCCTTTCCACTCCCTTAAATGTTGCATTTAAGATTCAATTTTTTGGATTGATTCCCTTGCCTTATAAAATTGACTCATATTGCCAGTAGCTGAGATGGAGGGAACTCCCTGGAACTCCCAGACTTTGCTGTGGCAGAAAGTATGTGAAATAATTTCTCTTTGGCCTCATCTTTGACCTATAACCACATAAATGAATAGGATAGAATCATTTAATTCATTTTTCTCCCTCCAGACTCCACTGGGGTTGGAGTTGCCCAACAGTTCATGGTTTGGTGCAAGACACTGTCAAAAATGCCAGGTCCATGACTATAATTTCCTGTGTAGACAAAAGCCTAAACCAGTGGTGAGGTCCTAGCAATCAGCTTTGGGCTGCCACAAAATCTGTGCTCTCACTTCTAGTATGCTGCACCATTACTTGCACTGAAGCCAAGCATTGTGCCCAGAGTGATGCTATGGTGCCTCAGAAAAGATATCCTCCTAGTTCTGTAGGCATATGATTCATAGTTACCTGAAGGTGAACAACTCCAGCCCCATATTTGTGAGATTTAACTGGAGTTATCAGGTGTTAAAAAAGCATTACAAATAGATAGCAGTTTGGCATGGAGCGAATGCTAGTGTATCTTAAGAAGAAAGTCTTCTGGTCACTGAGAGCTGTCAGATAGCCCAAATCTTGTTTTTAGGTGCAGAATATAAAATCATGGCATCAAGCATCTTACTTTATTGTCAAAAGGAAGGATACAAATAATTATAAATAAATACACCAATAAAACTAAACAAAAAGCATTTCCTGCAGTATTTCTGCTTGCTATGCAACTATTGGAATACCAGCTGAGTGAAAAATGAGTAGCAGTCCTACGGAGGAGTCCTTGGCCTATGTTTCAGAGTGAGCAAATGCAGTGCACAGGGTAGGGTGGCCTTTCCCAAGCCTCTGTTATTGTCAGTTTGAGTCCTTCACTGGCATCTCAGATAAAATGCATAATACGGGCTAGTCTTTTAATTGGTGGCTATGGCAGCAGACAGGTGGGAAATGCTTGATTCATTCCCAGGATGGTCAGCAGCTTGCCTTTACCCAACCCTGAGCTCCACAGACAGTTCCACATTGTGTGGGCCAGCTGCACCTTTGACACAACATGCTCCATCAGCAGGCATTGCACTTCAGGGTCTGCACTGTGTCTGTTCTGGTGTCACAACTAACAGTGCAGCATAGGTCTCCTTTCATAGGATGGGATTCTGGTTGAGATGCTGTCCTTATCATCCATGTTGACACAGCCAGAGGAGGCCCAGCCACCCAACTCAAGCGAATCCACCATTCCACACACCAGGTCAGGTCAAGGGCCTGGGCCCCCATTTCAACTGCTCACTCTTCCAAGGATCATACTAGGAGATCTGGGGCAAGTCACAGTCTTTCAGCCTGGCCTGCCTCTTGTTTTGAAGATAAAAGGAAAAGAATCCTGTCTATACCTGGAAGGAAGGATAGGATACAAATATGACAAAGAATTCAATTTACTTCCTTTGAAATTACAGTGAGATCCTATTCACTAGCAACAGAAACCTCATTAGTACAAACTGTCACTCTCTTGATTTCAGCCTGCTTCCCTCTAGATGATGACAGTGCCAGCCTATACATGTGGAGGCAGACAGAAGTCCTGCTGAGTTCAGTGGGGCTTATTCCCAGGCAAGTTGTATAGGACCATGACCTAAATATCAGAAGCAGGGATGGATGCAGATTGTCCATAGTTCACAGGTGTGTTAAAGCATGCCTGTGGAAACTCTGCCCTGATTTGCACGATCTCCACAGTCTGACATGGCACATTTAAGTGAAAGTAAGCACCAGCATCTATGGGAGTCATCTGGAATATTCAAGTCATGAGTGCAGCTTGTCATGTCATCTGATTCTGGGAACAATGGTTTATCCAAGAGTTAAACATCCTTGCAGAAATCTTGGTCTATTATAGTGTTACGTAAGTAATGTTTTACTCTTGTACACCTCATAGTCCCTGGGTTCAAGACATGAATATTCAAAACCATGATCAACACCTGCCATGGCTGAAATAAGCCATCATGGGCTATTTGATTGAGCTAATCAGTGCTGTTGCATACAGGCAGTAGCCAAGTCCCCAGACATAACTTTTGATTCATGGATTTTAGCCTACTCAGTAGGAGGAGCAGGAATGAGATGAGGTCACCAGATGAAATGCCAGAAACAAAGCCAGGACAAGGAAGCTACTTTCTCCTTAGCCTGATGAGAGCTTTCCCTCTTATCTTGTTGTCATATGAATCAGGCTCCACTGCTGTCCATCAGGCACTACCATGCTCTCCAGCCTCAGCAGGCCCAGTGATCTGCTGCCCACTTTCTGCCAGGCATCAGTTGCTTATCATGAACTCTCCTTCCTATTAGGCTAAGGAGGTTCCAGAGACTTGACAGGCCTTGTTCTGTGTCTGACTGGCAGCTCTACTATAATAAATACATTGTGAAATCCATCATAAGCCCACCACAACTAAACATTCCATTAAGCATTCTTAATATGCATTATTATAAAAACATGCACTTCACTCTACCACAGGCTTGGGTAATCAGGAGCTTACTGCTTCTGCCAGCATACCCAATGCTGATGGGTCATGGAAGCTGCAGACCAAAATAGGTTGGCCACAAGTTTCCTACTCTGGCCTATTGTTGAGTCATGTTAGATTGCAGGCACAAAAGAATAGCCTAGATCTGATGGGAGGCAAAGTCCCAGAAATCTTCAAAAATGGTAGTAGACTGGTTACCCTTAAGTGCATACTAGGAAAGACACTGGAAAAGCTCATAATAGCGAGAGTAATAGTAACCCTAAATAGGGAATGGAGGTTGGCAGCCATGCAACATGACTTCTGCAAAAACAGCTCATGCAAGACAAACCTTGTGGAATTCTAGGACAAGGTTTTTAGGTAGCTAGACAGAGGGGACACGGTGAATGTGGTTTACGTGGAATTCAGCAAGGACTTTGACAATGAGCTGCATGATATCCTGCAGAAATTGAGTTTTTGGGATAGACCAATACACTATACGATGGATTAGGGCACAATTGACAGACTGAAAACAGAAGGTAACGATTAGTGGGGAATCATCAGGATGGTGGTCAGTGAAAAGTGGGATCCCCCAGGGCTCTCTCCTGGGACCCAACCTTGAATCTTTTCATCAATGACCTGGAAGAAGGGGTGACCAGTCTGCTGATCAAATCCACAGACAATACTAAACTGGGGGGAGGGGGACTGAGGAGCAGGTATTCCAGATCCAGAAGGATCTGGACAGACTATGGAAGTGGGCAGAAGACAACAGGATGGCGTTCAATGTGGATAAGTGCAAGGTCTTCCACTTGGGGCATAGGAATGGGTGTCATAACTACAGGTTAGGGGACATAGAAACATAGA